CTCTTCTCTCTCATTTCTTCTGTTTCAATCAAACAAGTAAGTAAAACATTTCAAAGCAGCTAGAAGGGAAAGATGGCAGAACAGGGATGAGAATCATAGAAGACATTTTGGTAAAAGTTATGCAAGCTGAAAATCCCTCAGGAACATTTTCCAAGAGCTGTGGCAGTAGGGGAAAGAGAGGGAGGAAAAGCTGCAAGTAAGACACAGCCTGGGACATCTGCATCCCAGTGCACATTGGACCTGCATCAGAGCGCCTGGGTTTAAGTCCTAGCTTCTCTGTCAATTCCAGTTTTCTGCTAATGAACACCTTGGGAGGCAAGCAGGTGACAGCTCAAGTAGTTGGGTCCCTAGCACCCACAAAGGAGACTTTGGCCTAATCCAGCTCTGGTTGTTGCATTGGGAGGGGGTGAACCAGTGTCTCTTTGCCTTTCAACTAATAAATAATAATACAGTACTGAGAAGGGGAAATATCTGTCAACCTAGAATTCCCTATTTTTAAAAAAAACAAACAATGCTGCAGTTTGGATATTGGCTTAGGTGTCCCACCAGGGCTCACGAGTTAAAAGCTTGTTGCCCTAAGCCTTATGTTAATGACTAATGGATTCCTGCTAATGGTTAATGCACTCAAGGCGGAAACACAGATTATGGTGTCTGAAGGCAAGGCCTTTGAGGAGTGACTGAATTGCATTAGGCTGTCTGGGTGGAGTCCCAGGACTACATCAGAGCAGCTTACAAGGAGAGACCAGATAACACAGATGATAAGGACGTTTGCAGGCTGCTTCTCCCTCCACCGATTCCCCACCCCTCTGCTTCCTACTCCTCCTCTGATCCTAGCACCGGTGGGGGGGCGGGGTTACAACCAGCTCAGCCTAGGATATGGACAAGGTAACTTCAGTTATCTGCGGGTTCCTGGGAGCTTCCCCATGCAGCCAGTCACTGCATCATCATCCTATCCTCCTAACAGCTACTCCTCTTCACAGCTGACTGTTATGATGAGAGCAGTTACTCTCAGCAGAGCACCTACGGGCAGCCAAGCAGCTATGGACAGCAGAGTAGCTGTCAACAAAGCAGCTATGGGCAGCAGCTTCCCACTCCCTCCCCCGACCAACTGGCTCTCACAGCCAGGCTCCAAGCCAATATAGCCAATAGAGCAGCAGCTACAGACAGCAGAGTTCACTCTGACAGGACCACCCCAGTTATATGGGGTGGTCTACAGACAGGAATCTGGAGGATTTTCTGAACCATGAGAGAACCAGTGCATGAATGGCCCTGATAACCAGGGCAGGGGAAGAAGAGGATTTGATCAAGGAGGCACGAGCAGAGGCGGGCGGAGAGGAGGTTGCGATGGAATGGGCAGTGCTGGAGAGCGAGGTAGCTTTAATAAACATGGTGGATCCATGGATGAAAGACCAGATCTTGCTCTAGGCCCACATGTATATCTGGATAAAGAGTCTGACAACAGTGCAGTTTATGTGCAAAGATTAAATCATAATGTGACTGGATGACCTGGTAGACTTCTTTAAGCAGTGTGGCATTTTTTTAAAAGATTTATTTTTATTAGAAACTCAGATATACAGAGGAGAGACAGAGAGGAAGAGCTCCCATCTGCTGATTCTCTCTCTAAGTGGTCACAACAGCCGGAGCTGAGCCAATCCAAAGCAGGAGCCAGGAGCTTCTTTTGGGTCTCCCACACAGGTGCAGGGTCCCAAAGTTTTGAGCCATCCTCGACTGCTTTTCCAGGCCATAAAGGGAGCTGGATGGGACATGGGACCGCCAGGATTAGAACCGGCACTCATATGGAATCCCAGAGTGTGCAAGGGAAGTACTTTAGCCACTAGGCTACCATTCTGTGCCCTAAGCAGTATTGCATTGTTAAGATGAACAATCCATGATCCACATATACCTGGATAAGGAAGCAGGAAAGCCCTAGAGGGATGCCACAGTGTCCTATGAAGACTGCCATGGCTACCGTGGAGTAGTTTGATGGGAATGATTTTCAAGGGAACAAATTCAAGTGTCTCTGGCCTGGAAGAAGCTTCCAATGAATAGCATGCCGGGTGGCATGCTGCCCCGGGGAGGGCTGAGAAATGCTGCCCCCACTGAGCAGATGTCCTGGTGGCCCAGGAGGGCCTGGAAGGCCTAGAGAGCCCAGAGGTCACATGGGAGGCCATGGAGGAGGCAGAGGTGGCTTCCCACTCTCCCAGAGGACCTCAGTGCTCCCGGGGAAACCCCTAAAGCAGAGAACATCCAGCACGGAGCTGGGAACTGGCAGTGTCCCCCTGTGGACTGTGGAAACCAGTATTTCACCTAGAGAACAGAATGCAACCAGTGTAAGGTCCCAAAGCCTGAAGGCTTCCTTCCACCGTTTTTCCCACCACAAACCCCCACCTCCACCGCTACCAACCATTGCCCCAGTGACAACCCTGGCAGTACACGGGGTAGAAAATGTGGCTTCACAGACTGCAGTGTTCCAGGTGGATATTCAGAGGGCGCCGTGATGGAGATAGAGGCGGCTTCCACGGTGGCTGGAGCATGGACTGAGGTGGCTTCAGTGGAGAAAGACAAAGTGGTCTGGGTGGTACCCCTGGACCTTTGATGGAACAGATGGGAAGAAGAAGAGGTGGACATGGAAGATCTGGAAAATGGATAAAAGCGAACACTGTCAGGAGCGCAGAGACCAACTCTAGTAGACAGAGACGGGAGCTGCACTATCAGATGCATTTTTTAAACCAAAAAATTGTTGCAGGAATTTTGACTCCGAGTATGGCAGCAACCTCAAATTCTTGTCTCGCAGGAAAGAAGAATTTTCATGCGGACACAGTTTAGTTTTAAAGCAGGATTTATTAGAAAGGCTGAGAAAAGAAGACTCCCGTCCTAGCGACGGGAGGGGGTTTTGAGATAGAAAGGACCCTTACCCCCTGCCATAGTGGCAGGAGGAAAAGTAAAAAAGAACCCTAGTGCTCTGCCATAGTGGCGGGAGGAAAATGAGAACCCGTATTAATGGTGGGAAATGCACCTTTTAAAGGTTTCCCTCAAAGATGTTTCTCCATGAACAAAGAAAATTCCTAGTTTCCATGGTACCTGGCCTTGGGACAAAAGGCCACAGAGGTGCCAGACATAGGACATTCCAGGCCTTGGGCAGATGTGTATTACTTCTTCCTGCTCTCCTTTCAATGATAAAGAGATCGGCCTGAGACCCTCCCACAGTGGCCGGAGGTAATGGCCGATACTTCTGGTGGGGAATTGATATGCTAATAGCACCCCTGTCCCTGGGAGAGTGAGTTCAAGACATGGTGGGGAAATTCTCTTTTACTCAGGGACCCAGAATACCCTAACTGCCTACTACCCACTCTAACTCCTCTCTCAAAATGTCTTACATTTATAAACCCATGTTTATAATGTTGGCCACAAAATTATGATTATTCCTTGTCTGTACTGTAGTACTTTTCACCATTTGTGAAGAAACATTAAACAAGTCAAATGGTAGGGAAAAAAAAAAAGAAAAAACAGAATTGGGTATATGTAACAGGCTAACCTTCCACATCCATTATGAACAATGACTAGTGTCCTGGCGGCTCCACTTCCCATCCAGCTCCCCGCTTGTGGCCTGGGAAAGCAGTCCAGGACAGCCCAAAGCCTTGGGAATCCTGCACCCGCGTGGGAGACCCGGAAGAGACTCAGCATCTCGGCTTCGGATTACTCAACTTCAGCCATTGTGACCACTTGGGGCGTGAACCAGCAGATGGAAAACCTCTCTAGAGCAAGAGGTCTCTCCCTTTCTGTAATTCAAATAAAAATTTTAAAAAATAAATCTTAAAAAAAAGAACATGTAGAGCAAATAGAAAATTCATAACAAGATAACAAACTTAATCCTATCAATGATATTGGCTAAAGGCTAAATGTTCTAACTAAGAGATTGCTAGATTAGATTAAGAAATGCAAGACCCAACTATAATTTTTGCTGGAAAACCACTTTAAACATAAAGATGGAGTCAGGGCATAGTCTGGTTTGGAGTTTCCAAATTCATAATTGGCTGGGTGCTCAAATCAACTCCTTGTAACTGGATTGTGCCTCAGTTTACCTTTTCTCTTTACATATAAGATCTGTCATCAGAGAACGTTTTGGAAGTGTTGTAACTTAACTCACGATTTCTTTCCCTCAACTCAGAAGAGAGGATAGATTGGATGATACAGAAGGCAAATAAATGAACTTCAGTGAAAGAATTGGAACTTGAAACATTGTAAAAAGAACTAAGAAGCAAGGAAAAAGGTAGGTAGGAAAAGGGGGCAATGATTCAGGAATTTAAAGAGACGGGGCTAAGGGGAAAGACAGAGAGAGAGAGAGAGAGAGAGAGAGAGAGAGAGAGAGAGAACGCAGCTAGCGGACCTTTCATTCCTGACAATGGGTACCATGGGTGGAGATCCACCTTGAAAACGTCTCTAGAACAAAGTTTGGAACTGCTCAGTCTGCTGTTCAAGGCTCTAGACACACACACAGCTCCGAGAACAGGTGTGGAATAGCCCAGCAAAGACCCGCCGCGTCTCCCTGTGCCCAGCAGGATGAACTATGGGGGGACCGTGCCAGCGGCGGCGGAGCCCTGAGCCGGTAGGGCGGCCGCCCGACACGCCTTCTGTCAGAAAGGACGTGGCGAGGCCCGCCGAGGGCACTGGAAGGGAGCGGAGCCCTCCGGGTTCAGCCTCACTCGGACTCGGTCAGCGCCTGTGGGGCGGGCTGGGCGGCGCCCCCTCAGAGCCTCGGCGGCCCCCTGAGGAATCTCGGGAGGTGGCAGACGCGTCCCCACGGCCCTTCCGGCTCTGACGTCTCTGACCGCTCGCCAGGGACACAGGCCGGCCGGAGGATCCCGGGCCCCACACAGGCCGACCCACAGCTGGGCCCTAACAAAGAGCCGGGGTCCCAGGCACGTTGCCACCCCCAGGAGGTTTTTTGGAAACTCAGTGCGGCCCAGGGGCGGGGCTTGCGCGCGCCGCAGCCAATCACCCGAGCGCCAGGGCGCCAGGGGGCGGGGCCTGGCGCCAGCGGGCTGCGGCGCTGCCAGGCTGGGTCCGAGCATCCCGCGGCTCCGGACCCGCCCGGCCCGGACATGGCGACCGCCCCGGGCTCCGTGCGAGGAGGGCTGCTGCTTCTGCTGGCCGTGGCGGGGGTCGCGGGGGTGGCAGGTGGCCTGGCCCCGGGCAGTCCGGGTGAGTAACCGCGGCAGCTGCGGCTCGGGGCGGTCGCCTCAGCGCTCCCAAGATGGCGCGGGGCAGGGGGCGGCGGTGCGCGCGGCCCCCAGACCCACATCGGGTCTGTTGGCGACTCGGAGTTGCTGGCCTCGGCAGTCGGGTCGAGGTGCCGAGGTGGGACGAGAGAGGACCACACCCCCCCTCCCCCGCTCCGCTCTGGCTCGCCGCCCCGAAGAGCTGCTTCTTCCCGGGGAGCGATGACCCGGGTTCGAGGCCTGGCTCTGTCTGTCACCCACCGGCGTGGGTCCCCGCCGCCGTGGCGCCACCCTGACCGCCCGACCGAATCACAGGAGGGTGAAATGCCTTTGCTGGGACCCGTCGCGAGGACTGTAGGGGGATTCGGCTGTTGCAGCCGCCTTCCGGCCCCGACCAGTTCTTGGGGTTCTTTGCTGGACCCCGGCTGGGGCTCGCTGGACTGGGCCCTGGCGGGAGACATCCACTTGTCCTAGGTGAAACTTGCTCTCCCGGGCTGGCAGGCTCGGGGAGAGGAACGAAAGCAAGGATGGATAGCAATGCCCAGGGCTTCCTGTCACTTGCTGGGCTGTCGGAGTTGCTGCCAACTCCTGCCTTCCAGCAAGGCGCTGAACTTCCAGGCACTGGTGTCCAGAGGCGAGGGAGGGCCCTGGGGGCACGCAGGGACAGCGGTCACCCCTGCCAGACGTTAAAAGGGGCAGAGGTTTGTATTTGCAAAAAGTGATGGAGATGGTGCTGATGGGAGAGACATCTGGGAAAACCAGAACCAACTCCAAGGAGATTTTAAGGTAGTTTACAAGCTATCATGAAAGATTTTTAAAATAAAGATATTTGGAGAAAGGAAATGAACCGACAGTAAGACGATTCATTGTAATTAGATTCAAGATTTAGCTGTTAGTAAGCTAAGAAACTAAAGAAGAAAAGGAGGAGGAAAAAAAGCAGAAACAAAAATTTAAAAATAACAAATAAGTAAATTAAAAAAGAGAAGGCAAATGCTATGTGAGTTCTTGGCTACATGAACTAAATGGATCCTATTCTCTTTTGACAAGTAAATGAGATTGCACGAAAACATTTACAAAATTATGGTCCATGGAGTGCTAATTGTTCATTCTTCTCTCCTAATTGACTGATTTTGAGGTCTAATATTTATTATATGTAGTATCTTAGAGATTGTAATATGAGAATTCATTGAACTAACAATGTATAACATTTAGCATAGCAAGCCTGAAATGTTAGTATGTGTGCTTAGGAAACACTGCACATGGTGCTGCATCTCACAGAATCACAGAGTACATAGATTGACAGTAAAGGGTCCAAGGAGATCTATGATTTAAGAAAAACGGTTGCTAGGGGAATGGGAAATGACTGTTAACAGGCCTGGAATTTTGGATGATGAAAGTGCTCAAAAATCACAGGAGATGGTTGCACAACTCTGATTATACGAAAAGCAACAGTTGATGCTTTAACCGGGTGACTTTCATGGCGTATGAATGATATCTCAGGATCGTTGAAGGGTGAATCTTGCTTCTTCAGAACTCATTTTCTTCATAACCCCTAGAGCTCAAGTTAGGAAATGCCAGGAAAGTTGATTTCTAATGACCCTTCAAACTCTGAAACTCCATGACAACACATGGCTTGTCCCATTTCATAAAAAAAAAAAAGAGTTCAAAGTTTGATCTGAAAGTGAGATTTGTTCCCTTACTACATATATTGTCTGATTCCTTATAAAAAGGACATTGAGTGATAGAATGGACAAAGACTTCCACTGTGGGTTTGTAGAAAGTACAGAAAATATTCCATTCTAAACAGATTGAGAACACAATTATTAAATTGTGTTTCAGTGAAGGGCCAGCTTGTATTCCTGCTCAGATTGTCTGCTCTCCTCTCTCCTTACCCCGGTCAAGCTTGGGAACTTCTGTGTGCTGTGGCACAAGGCTCCATGGGGTGCTGAGGTCCCCTCCTGTGTGGTGTGGCACAAGGCTCCATGGGGTGCAGAGGTCCCCTCCTGTGTGCTGTGGCACAAGGCTCCATGGGGTGCAGAGGTCCCCTCCTGTGTGCTGTGGCACAAGGCTCCATGGGATGCTAAAGTCCCCTCCTGTGTGGTGTGGCACAAGGCTCCATGGGGTGCTAAGGTCCCCTCCTGTGTGGCTTTCCAAGTCTTATCTGCCCTTTTTATTCCTGTTTGTGGGAAATGGCGATGAGAGAGCCATGATCTCATGAGAAGGGACCCTACACTACAGGATTCACGGGTCACAGCACCTGAGAATGCTCTGTTTCTGATTAAGATGTTATGTAACAGTACAAATGAGGGAAAGCTGTACATGAAGGGCCTAATTTCAACAAGTTGACATTTAAGGAATTATGTAATCCCCTAGAATCCTGACAAAGAATGGAATAAATTTTTAAATTACAGAACACAAATGCGTGTCTGAAGGAAAGTAGTAAGAAGCCAGCCGTCAGAAGCCCATGTGATGGCTCATTGGTTGATCGTCTGCCCACTAGTGGTTAAGCCACAATCTGTGTTACTGGCATCCCATATGGATGCCGGTTCGAGTTCCGAGTGTTCCACTTCCCATCCAGTTCCTTGCTGATGTACCTCAGAAGTCACTGGAGGATGGCTTAGGTTCTTTGAGCTCTGCACCCCATGGGGGAGACCTGGAAGAGGCTCCAGACTCCTGGCTTTGGCCTGACCCAGTACTGGCCCCTCTGGCCATTTGGGGAGTGAACCAGCAGACAGAAGACTCTATGCCTCTACCTCTCCCTCCTCTCCCTTTCTGTACTCTTTTTTTTTTTAAAGATTTATTTATTTATTTTTATTGCAAAATCATATATACAGAGAGGAGACAGGAAGATCTTCCATCCGATGATTCACTCCCCAGGTGACCACAACGGCCAGAGCTGTGTCAGTCTGAAGCCAGGAGCCAGGAACCTCCTCCAGGTCTCCCACATGGGTGCAGGGTCCCAAGGCTTTGGGCCTCCTCAACTGTCTTTCCCAGGCCACAAGCAGGGAGCTGGATGGGAGGTGGGGCCGCTGGAATTAGAAGCAGTGCACATATGGATCCCAGCACGTGCAAGGCAAGGACTTTAGCCACTAGGCTACTGTGCTGGGCCCAATAAATTTTTTAATTTTATTTTGATTCTGATTATAATAATAGTTTCCCTTCCCCTAGGCTTTTTGAAAGACATAGTGACAGATAGATGAGGAAAAGGCTCATTTGCTGGTTCTCTTCCTAAATGGCAGCACAGCTAGCACTGAACTGACAGAGCAAGTAGCCAGAATTCAATCCAGGTCTCCCCTGTGGTTAGCAGAGATCCAGCTATTTGGACCACAAAGGATCTGCATCAGTGGAAGACTGCAGTGAGGAGCCAGAGCCAGAGACCAAGCCCAGGTATTGACATGGGACAGTGATGCCCAGCATCTTAACTACAGATCCAAACACCTGCTGTATTGGAAGTTACATCACTGCAATTTTAGCCTGGCCTGGTGTTGCTGAAAACACTAAGATTTAGGAGGGCGGGGATTCGAGCCTTAAAAGAAGTCTGGGGTTGGAATCAGTAGCAAGGCAGCAGTAGCATTTCAGGAAGAAGGCTCAGTTTCAGGTAAATAAGTACAGGCTTTCTTTTAATAAAGTAATAACAGTTTAGGGAACAAAAGGCTGGAAGAAAAGCTTGGAAAATTAGGCCTAACAGGAAGTTATTGTAGGCTTTTGAAGTATGAAATTTGAGTCCTGGCTGCTCCACTTTCCATCCAAATCCCACCTGCTTATAACCTGGAAAAGTTGCAGGGGATGGACCTTGGCACCCTCTAGCTACGTGAGGACCCACAAGAATTTTCTGGTTCCTATCTCAAGATTAGCTCATCTACTACAGCCTTTGTGGCTATTTGGGGAGTGAACCAACAGGTGGAAAGTCTCTCTCTCTTTCTCCCTTTGTCCCTCCTTCTCTGTAACTCTGCCTTTCAGATAAAAATAGAATTTTCTCATCACTGCTTGAAAGGATGCCCACATCCCATACTGCAGTGCCTGGTTCAAGCTCTGCCTGCTGCCCTTCCCATCTAGCTTCCTGCTCATGTACACCCTGGGAAGCAGCAGCTGATGGCCCGAGTGCTCATGCTGTCGACATGGGAGCCTGGCAGGCGTTCTAGGGCTATTGTGGGCATTTGAGGCATGAGCCACCTGGTAGAAGTTCTCTTTTTGTCTGTGTGCCTTTCAAATAAAATGAAAATCAACAAATAAGTAAAGATAAGATTGTTATTTTTTTAGATTTTTATTTTTTTATTTGAAAGGGAAATTTACAGAGAGATAGAAAGATCTTCCATTTGTTGGCTTACTCCCCCATGGTCACAATGGCTAGATCCAAAGCCAGGAGTCAGAGCGTCCTCAAGATCTCCCATGTGGATACAGGGGCCCAAGGATTTGAGCCATCCTCTAGGCCATAAGCAGGGAGTTGGATGGGAAGTGGAGCAGCCAGGACACCCAGCAGCACCCATATGGGATCGCAGCACATGCAAGATGAGGATTTTGGCCACTAGGTTATCGTGCTGGACCCTAATTAAATCTTTAATACAAAATCAGTGTATATAAGTAATAAAAATAAGACCAGATTTTTTAAATACTATATTTTTTTTAAATTAAAATGACCTTTTCCTGTTTTCAACTCAGATTTAGTTTTCTCTCTCAGTAAAGTAGGAGATTGGTATCTGTGTGTGTGTTCTAGTCTGCTTAAGTAATTCTTTCGGAATTAGAGGGATTTTTCTTTTGCTTTTTTTTTTTTTTTAGAAAAAGAAACAAGAATGGCTTTTCATTAACCAGATTGAATTATAGCTTTGGGGGGGGCTTCTGTGGCAAAATTCCTTTTAACTTTAAAAAATCCTGTAATTCTATGGATATTTCTTATTTTTAGATTAGGGTGTGTGCTTGTTTTTAAAGTGCTAGTTGGTCTTAGAAGCTGCATTTTTCTGCATGTGGCTGGAGCATGTGCTTCCT